CACACACACACATACATCACACACACACACACACACACACACACACACACATACACACACACCACACCACAACACATATATATATATATATCACACGCACACACACACACACACACACACACGCACACACAAGCACACACACACACACACACACACACACACACACACACACACACACACACACACCACACACACCGCACGCGATCCGATATAGCGGGGAAAACGGGACTCCCACTCCCAGTGTAAATCCCAAGACTCTTCCTCTGTCACGCGCAGACGACAGTAGACACGCGCCACACGAGGCGACCTAGAGTCATTCCTGCTCCACCGACAATAGTCGAACAACTGTCGGAGAAAGTTACACAATGGCGGCGAACGAATTAGGCGAGACTGTTGCTTTGTGTCCCGCCAATCCCAAGGAATAGCCCGCAGCAGGCACGGCGGAAACATGTGTTAAGTATTCGCGTCAAACATCTAATATAGCCAACGAGCAACGACAACGAGTGAGAATACATGGTGCCTGCATGCGTGGATGCAGATAATATGATTGTACGACACAGAACAAAAGCCATGATCTTGTCACGGCACATTGGACACCATTCTATGACATTGATCCAGAAAATCTGCATAGCATGTACAGCTTTATGCCAATGTGGCAATTTGTATTCGTAATAACATTAAACATGTGTAACATAACTTGCTTACGTGCCATATGTAGATTTATAATGATAACAAGTAAAACAGAATTGTTAAACTATAAGTGCTTTTCTTGTGTGCTAGATAGCGTGATTGGTGGCTTAATCGTGTTCTATAGGCGATCAGAGCATTCAGCAGTAGTGCACTTATATATAGATGATGTTTTTGATATTTTGCTGTATAATTAATAAGCCGATACTAATTTATTAAAAACAGGACTGCGCTTGCCGTTACGTATAGGTCTTGCAATATTACGGAGATACAATCATCCTTACACAGAATAGTCTCTTTAGTTCCATAGCTTATTTAAAAAAATCATTTGAAGAGACTTGTTGTTTATCGTTGTATACGTACGTATGTTATAGTTAATACGTCTCGTAAAGATATTGTACACTCTACGTATCTCTATTAGTGGCTCTATTAGGATATGTACGTGTTTGAGTGTGTGACACGAGTTATTCCTACAATTACACTCACTTGTATTAGGTATCATATATTTAGCTCCTGCATAAGTTTTTATGGTTTATTTGCTGCGGAATGATCATTCACAGCAAGCACAGACATTAGGCCAAAAATATGTAACAAAATATTTAATATTATATAATACAGTTATACATCATCATCAACACGGCAACAGCCTTGCTTGCTCTAATGCACATGTCCTTACATAAATACATGACGTCGCGGTTAAGCCATTTTTTTGGCAGTGTCAGTCGATAATGGGTGCGAGTTATAATAAATATAAATAAATATATATAATGGTACGCGTATATATATATATATATATACGTGCGAATGCGCGAGATCAAGTGCATCACTCGCTGGCGTCGCATTGCCACCTCCGTCCGTGCTACGTCGCAGTCGGCAGTCGGCAGAGCGATGGCTTCATTGTACAACGTTCCTCCGAGTAACCTCTCGCTGTCGGCGCTCGAAAACAACAGCGTCGTCGTCGGCAGCAGCAGCGCGGGTGCGACGGTTGTCGACGCCGTGCTCGAGGGCATTCCGAAGTGTTTCGCCTACCCGCTGATCATCAGCGGCGTCGTCAACATCGTCGTCAACGCCGTCGTCGTGACGCGGTGACGCGCACGCCGCACCTGCAGGAGCCGGCGCACACGCTCATCGCCAACCTCGCCGTCGCCGACGTCGGCCTCGGCATGCTCGGCCTGCTGTCGCCGGCGACGTTCGTCGTCCGCCGATGGTCGTCTGCGTCAGCCACTTCGCCGTCGTCACCTGCTTCGCGTTCTGCTCCGTGACGACGCTCATCGCTATCAACGTCGACCGCTACGTGTCCGTGTCACGTCCGCTGCGCTACCATCAGGTCATGACCCCGCGCGTCGTCGCCGTCATGATCGCACTCAGCTGGAGCGTCGCCGGCGTCGTTGGCGTCGTCAGCCTTGTCGAGAACAGCTGGTCCCCCGACAAGCCGTGTCTGTATGACGTCATCAGCGGCAAGGCGACGCTGCTGCTCGACGCCGTCTTCGTCGCTATCTGCGGCGTCGCCATCGTCGTCATCTACGCGTACATGATGCTCGTCGCCAGGCGACACCGTCGGTGCATCCAGCCGCTGCCGCCGACGACGACGAGCAACGGTTCCTCGCAGCCGACGGAGCTCCCGGAGGAGCTTCGCTCCATCTTCGAGGCGCTCGCCAGGAATCTGAAGCTGGCGTAGACGTTCAGCATCGTCGTCGGCGCCTTCTTCGTCTGCTGAGCTCCGCACTTCACCGTGATGCTGCTGAGCGTGTTCGAGGTGCGACGGGAGCCGGTGGGGATGCTGCGCGGGGTGGGATACGTGATGGCCTGCTGCAACTCGAGCGTTAACGTCTTCGTCTACGCCGGACATAGCAAGACATTCCGCAGGGCGTTCAGGGCGGTGCTGCCCTCGCGCGGCGAAAACTAGAATCAGAAACATTGATGGACGGACTAGTATACCGACGTCCCCGGCCCGCCGCCCTGATTGTTAGTATATCAGCAGGGTCCGTGTTTATGTTTGGACGAAGTGCATGATCTCTGATTGCAGAGTAATATCTAGTTTAGCGCGCATTCGTACGTGCCATGAGGTCTCATGTAATTCGTTGGCATTACATTCCCGACACGTGGATATCCAAATACTACTTTAACAAGGAATTGTTTGAAGGTATTAGCTAAACCTGAATTGTCAGGTCATTGAAGATGACCTAAATGTCATTGAAACATAAAATAGTGTCATCGCACGTGGCGACGCACTTGGGACTTGTTCACCAAGCACTTGGGACTAATTCAAGCAAGGGGCAAGCTATGTGGTTCAAGGTTTCGTTTATTTTAAATTTAATTAATTTCTTTCGGGCATATATAGTGGCACTCATACTAGTTACGTGCTGTTGGCGCGCGCACTGACATGGCATGACCACGCAAAGGAGCAACACACAAGGTAAACTTAAGCCTGTAAAAGCTTCAATTGTATACGGCATATATTATACATGTATATATATACGATATACGGCATATAT